GCGGCACGTCCGGTCCGGCGGTTCCCCGTCTCACGCTCTGCCGGTCGAAGCACGTGTCAAGCGGATACAAACTGTTATCCGTCGGCACTTGGACCATCTTCTTCTCCACGGCCTTAGCCATGAAGGCTTTAAAGAAAGGTTTGTAGATGGCAGGGTGCATGGCGGTATAGGTTGCTATGGTGCTGAGCTGAGTGCCGCCATTCCCGTCTTTGCCAATTGACAGAAGAGATTTCTTGAAAGGAATCGTTTTTCCGTCTACCGCGATTGATTTCACGCCGATGTAGTAATCGTTGGAGGGTGCAGCATTCATCTTGTTATTTAAAAAAAAATGGCAGAAAGGGTAAGTCTCGATGAACAAGAACTCCATTTTGTGGAAAGTTACTTGATGTTGAAGCAACAAAAATGTTGCTAGTTCAGAACTCGAACGAGTTAACTCATTCTAAAACGACCGGAGAATCTATTAGATATATTACGACTTACCAAAGGCAACGTAGAGTAGTAAGGATTGGTGAACAAGGGGGCGGTCGCGAACAGTCGGGAAGCGTCTCCTCGGTACGGAGGATAGAAATACGGACCTCCTCCGATGAAAATGTCGCCTCGGGCTGACGTTTTGGGTTTGGAAGGAAGGCAGAGAGCGAATTTTCGCGGAAGCTTGAAGGCAGAAGTGAGCTGACTACGGATAGAGAGAACGTTTTTGGAAAGACCAAGCACTCCGATGGATGATTTCGGGAAAGGATACTCGAAAACCTCGTCGTCGGCACAGGCGAACACCAACTGAGGAGAGTCAAGACGGGGACCGAGCCTAAGGCCGTCGGGCGTCGATAGGAAGCTCATCACGTCCTGCGACAGGACGGCGTGATAGTTTCGAGTGTTGTAAGGATGGTTCACATCTACCGCGCATAATGGGTCGGAGCAGGTGCCGTTCGGGTAGCAGTTACTCCTCATAGCTGCAAAAGCAACAAAAATCTACAAAATGAGAGTCCAATCTTTGAAGCCTTCTTGTCAGTGTTTTCTACGTATACAATACCATATATCTACATAATTGGATGTTCTGTCGGATTAGTCTTGACGATCACGGGTAGGGTCGGTCCGGCCCGATCCGGTCTAACCCATCTCGATCTCAAATTTTTTATTTCAGTTTGACCCGACCCGTATTCGAGAGTCAAAAATTATTGGCTCAACCCGATTCACTCCACGCTCTTTAGCACGAGATTTTGAGTCTCGCGTGTCTACCAGCAAGGTATTGTTGGTAAGCTTCTCCAACGCTCAGACGAATCGGTTCGCGAGTCAAACACATATTTAAAAACAAAATTTAAATATAAAAAATATTAAAAATATTTTTTTAAAAACAAAACAAAGCGATAACTATTAAAAACGCAATTTAATTTTAGAAAAAATTAAAACTTAAAAATATTTTTCTTGATTCCTAGACCTGGCTCGCCGAGTTAACTCATGGTGAGTTGGCTCGTTCGTTTCGGGTTCAAATTTTGCGAGCTCGGCTCAAAAAAATGTTGGTTCGGACCCATTTTGACACCCCTAGGGCCCTAGCGACCGGGTCGCGACAACATTAATTCTGACGTGGGAGGAATTAATTACCTGGGTTCTCGACGAGTTTGCATTTGGGAGAGGTGTAAGCGATTCCACGGTACGAGGAGGAGTTATACCGTGCGGCGGCGGAACACACGAACCAAGAGAACCCTCCTCCGAGATCGACGACAAAGCTGATCGAGACCGTCGGTTTAGTGCCTACTCCGACAGTAGCGGAGTACAGGACGTTGTTGTACGGGAATGATTCTTTCGCCACCGGTATGATGAAGGCATGCGGATTCTTCTGCGCCGATGAACAGCCGGCGAGGAAAGTGGCCGCGGCGGAGAGGAGGAGGAGGACGGCGGCGAGATTGTTGAGAGTAGCTGCCATTTATGTTTCTTCGAGGTTCAACGTTGAATGTTGATGCCACTTTATAAGGGAAAGTGGAAACCCCACCACCACCATTCTCTCTCTCTCTCTGAACAAATCAAGAATCTTTTTTCTGCGAATTTAAAATATTGGTAACGTTTTCGGCAACGTGCGATTATAAGAATTGAACGTGTATACTAATACTAATATGATATACATTATACATTTAGGTAAGAGATCTTAGACCACGTGCCGAATCTTAAAGTCTGATCTGGAAATACGTATCTCGAGGACTCTGTCGACTAGAATTTAAATATCTACACACAAAATCATTAAATTCCAAATATAATATCCAATATATTTATATATTATGGCTTGTAGGTTAAATAGCTAAGATACATTAGTTGTCAATGCGTGTTCATTGGGAAACAAGGGTTATAACATTTTAATTTATATATTATAACATTTCCGATAAAATAGCTTCAACGCACATTTCGTAGCATTATTTTAACTTAAATATTCCTATTTTTAGGTTGTATATGGTGATACTTTGTGGGATAAATTAGCTATTAGAACATATATATTGATGAAAAAATATCTTTTTACAAAGAAAAGTTAGAATAGAAAAAAATATGTCGCAATAAATATTTTAGTTTATCCAATTAAATTCAACAACTTACCCTTAATTTTAAATCTTATTCCAAGGCATTAATGGCATGGTCAACAAATGGAGACTTTCAATAGTTTATCTAGCATAGAGGCCATATCGAATCTAAAGATACGGTGACAGATTTGTAACCTTACATTTATATTTATTTAAAACACCGACTCTTATTTATGTCACGTGCTTAATTTGTTTTGGGGTATAAGTCACGTGGTTAATTATATAGTTTATTCTAATTCGGACACAAATAAACTGACATGTTCAAAGAACTCTATAAAACATGTGATGGATATCAGACTGGATCAATAACACAATGAACATAGAGATGCGTGCCTTCACGCGCTTCTTCGTTTTCTTCTCCATTTTCGCCATTGCCACTGTAACCTCCAAAGCTCAGACAAACCAAAGACCCTCAGCTTTTGTTCTTCCGATTAAAAAACACGAGCCGACACAACAGTTCTTCACTTCCCTCGATGTCGGAACCCCCCGGAGATCTTCTCTCAACCTCGTACTCGACCTCAACTCCAACCTCACATGGCTCAACTGCCACAGACGCAACTCATCCACTCTCCGGCAGACCCGCTGCCGAAGCTCTGTCTGCTCCGCCGTCCCCGGCGACGGATGCGAAGGAGGTTTCTGTTCCCGGCGGCTACGCAGCCCTCTGAGCGGCAAACCCGTCGCCGGACGTATCAGCCAAGAGAGGTATAATTAATCGTAATAACAATAGATTTTCTCTCTCTAGTGAGAGAAAGTGTCTCTGTTTCCTACCGAACATTCTCCCGAGAAAGTTACGTTTTCCTGGAAAATATTCAGAAACCCTCTCATACTTCTCTCCTCATGTTACAGGATCTCGTTCCACAGCACTCCTAGCACCTTCGGCGACAAAACTATCGTCCGAGTCTCCGTTCGGCCGTTCACTCTCCTCATGTTACAGGATCTCGTTCCACAGCACTCCTAGCACCTTCGGCGACAAAACTATCGTCCGAGTCTCCGTTCGGCCGTTCACCTTCCTCGGCGCCGCCGATCCCGGAGTAGCTCCGCCGGCCGTCGGAGTCGTGGGTCTCGCCGGCAGTGCTATCTCGCTTCCGGCCCAGGTTGAATTCTGCCCACTACAGTAATGTATAAATACATAAGAAAGTATAATATGTAATTAAGATATGCTAATATGGTGAAATTATAATATCTTCATATCTTCTTTTCCCTGTGACCATCAACAGGTGACATCAGCTTTCAACGTCATAAGAAAGTTCGCTCTTTGCTTGCCGTCGTACGGAACCGGACGTTTCTACATCGGGGCCGCTCTGTACGATTTCCCGCCGTTGACGGAGAGTCCACCGTTGACTCTGACGCCATTTGGAAAGCATCCCGGCTCCGGAGCCGGCGACTACTTCATCAGCGTTAGCTCGATATCCGTTGACGGAGACGTGATTGCGGTTAACGGAGGGACAAAAATCAGTACGGTGACTCCGTACACCGTACTTCACTCTGATGTCTACAGAGCCCTGGCTTTATCATTTGAAAACATAGCAAAGGTGATTTATTTATATTTAAGATTCAATTTGTTAAATGCCCCTATATCCACTATGCTAATGACAAATAAAAGTCAAAACATTGATCATATGTTCTTGATGGGACCTGGAAACATGGGTTTTGTGCTTATAGCTTGCAAAGACTTTTGTTCAATAAGTGGTCCGGTTCTTGAGATTTTTGGGTAGTTTAATTAGAGGAAAAAATAATAATAATAAGAGAATTAGACATTCTAATTACAAAAAAAGTTCACAATGTTAACTCTTCATCATTTTTAATATATATGGTATTTTTATTATTATTTATAGATATAATACTATTTGTGTAGTATTATTTTTCACAAATATGGTATTATTACTATTTCGCATACTCGATATTTTAGACTTCTGCCCGTTCACATTTCTATAATTGTGATTTTCGGATAGTTTTAAGTATACTAAAAAACTAATGAGAATATTAGACATTCCAAATAAATAAATAAATAACCACAATTTTCACTTTTCAACTTAAAGTATGGTATTATTCATGAATATATAGTATTATTATCATTTAACACATACAACATTATTTGTGTAGTTTTTTTTAATTTTTTATTTTTGCAAATTTGGTATTATTACTATTTCGAGTACCACTCGATATTTTAGTCTCTGTCCGTTCACGCTCCTATTCATGTGCGTTGTGTGCAGGCAATGGGTATACGCAAGGCTCCGGCGGTGGCTCCGTTCATGGACTGCTTCGACGCGAGCTCCGTTCGGAAGAACGCGATCGGCCCGAACGTACCGGCCGTAGATTTCGTCGTGCCAGGGAGGATCGGAAACGTGAAATGGCGTTTCTACGGGGCGAATTCGATGGTGAAGGCGAACGAAAAGGTCATGTGTTTGGCCTTCGTCGATGGAGGAACCAAATCCGACAACTCCATAACCATTGGAACTCACCAGCTTCAGAACCATCTTGTCGAGTTCGATCTCACGACTTCGGTTTTCGGGTTCAGCGAATCGCTCTTGCTTCACAACACTAGCTGCTCCAGTTAGCTTAAAGGGCTTAACCGTAAGCCCTTAACCAGTCTTTGATCCTATGTTACTTGTTGTTTGGTTTTATCTGTTATGTGTTCTTTCTTCTTGTTTCTTGATTTCTGTCACGTGTTGGATTTGGAATAGGAAGAAAACCCTTAATATTTTCGTTTATAAAAAAAAACGGAATCGAAGACAAATTCAAATTCAAATCAAAATTTGATGTAAAAATAAATGAATACACTTATTTTAAAAAATCGAAAAAAATAAAGAAGTGGGATCAAAATTTGATAAATATTTTGAAATATAGAAAATAATCTAAAACTACAAATATTTTGAAACGGAGGGAGTATATACATTAGTAAGAAATAATATTTGGGATCACAATTTCGATTTTCGAATTTAAAAAATAACAAATCGTGTAACAAAGGGAAATTGCAATTAGGAAATCTGTGGGCGAAAGCCGAAACCATAACCATGGGCGTCGCCGCTGTTCTTTCTGAGAATCTCAGAATTCACTTTAAATAAATGGTGTATTTATTAGCCATTAAATATTCACTTTTTTAAGCAAATTAGGATATTATCATTTGGGTTTTCATTTCAATATACGAAAAAAATAATCAAAATTCATTTGAGCCCACGTCGTGATTTTAAAAATGAGTAAATTTGTTGTGCGTGTATATTAGGGAATTTGTTAAAATATAAAACATTATTTTTACCATATGTATTCAATTTTTTTTTTAATCTAAATAATCTTTTTTTTCCGTCTACAGTTAACTGGAATCTATATCTTTCAAATACAAAATTTTGGAATTAGTTATAAATTTCACATTTATCTTCCAAAAAATTTTTGGCCTAAACATATGAATCGGTGATTACAAATTTACAATATATGGTTGTAGAACTACAAATATAACAATATGGAAGGAGCAATTTCAATGGAGTGCACAATAAATACAAATTCACATTTTCTAATTCATATGTTATTTTTGTCATCTCCCATCCATAACGATATATATCGTCACCAATCATATGTCAACGCACAACTTATATAACCACGGGACATCTAATTTATCTATTGTAATATGCATATAAATTATGTGTTTAAAATTTTACTAGGTGGGTTCCGGCCCATTGTATATGATGTCTTATTTTATAATTCAATTATCAGAAAAAAAAAATGTTCAATATATTGAAGGAATCGTTTCATGTTGATTTAGATACGCACTAACTGAATAATATTATTATACTAATTACAAGTTAAATACTAACAATTAGAATTCTACCATTAATTAAATTAGGTTCAAGTTGCTTTCGGTACACAGGAAATCTCCCTCGCTGGTTGTTTTAATGATATTAATTATTGGATCATCACAATGATATGAGTCTCGAGTGGAAAATAAAATATTACTCCGAGCTTTTGTTTTTTTTATTCTGTATATATAATTTTGAAAAATAGCAAATAATGATATATTAATAATGACGTAAGTTTATATTAATGAAAAAATTATTATGAATGCAAAATAGTTATCATAAAATGATGATACTGTAAATATTTAAATTTCCAACAATTATCGCAATGTATTTCGTGAACATGCACGAAGGAAAGAGACGATGCGGGTCCCACAAATTTCAAATCTAACGGCTGAGAATGAATCTTTCCCCGTGTGGATGGGACCCACGTTTATGTGTTGGACTTTGATTTCAGTGTCAAGAATCAGAGATCCATGGAAGTGCGTTAATTACGAATTTACCCTTCGTCATTCTCCTATAAAGTCCGTCTCTGTCTTCTTCTATTCCATCTCCGATATCTCTCGTCTCTGAACATTGTCCTCAGAGATTGGATTCGCAGAACTTTCTAGGAAAGTGAGTCGATTTTCTCGGTGGAGAGAGAAAATGCTGGGAGTATTCAGCGGGGCGGTGGTGACGCCGCCAGACGAGCTGGTTTTGGCGGGGAGCAGGACACCGTCGCCGAAGACGACGGCGGCTGCGCTGGTGAAGAAGTTCGTCGACAGCAACTCGTCCGCCGTGTCCGTACAGGTCGGAGGCCATGTTCAGATGGCTTACACCCACCACGACGAATCTCCTCTCCGGCCTAGGTGAGTGATCGCCAACGAATCTCTCTCTTTTTTTATTATATCATACTCACTTCTCGACCGTCCGATCGACGGTTTCTATGATCTGACGGTCGGTGTAGCTCGATGGATCCGACTGTTCTTTGTCTTTGGTTTGGCTGATAGAAAATATGATTTTTTTTAATATGAGTGAAAGGAAAAATAGAAAAAAATATTAAACCATTACGGAAAAATAGATTAATTTGTATGTGTTTATTTTTTTGTTTCAGGGTATTAAATTTATTTGATTCAAAGGGAAAACATTCATATTTTACCAAAAAATGAAATAAAATAAATAAGATGAGATTCCCTGCCGAGGCCTATTCTATGCGAATAAATAAAAAATTTAAATCTTATTTGATTCAAGATAATCTTTTTTTGTATTATATGGCAAATAAAAAAAGGATAACATTGTTTTAGGTTAATTAAATACAATGATATTATATATGCGTAGATTCCCATATAGATTATGGCTCATAGATTCCAACACTGAACCTGCTTGGGTCGGGACCACTATAATTAAATAGCAAAGCTAAAGTATTTCCTAACATAAATCTATCATTAAAAAAATCAAATAACTATAATTTTTCCATCTATTTCATATTTTAATGCACACTGTGATTTCTTTTTATGTTTTTGCTGGCATGTATAAGTTTTTCAAAATACTCAATGTTGACACATATATTGTCTTTAAACGAAATTTAACTTAAATAAAATAAAATAAATTAATGTATTTTTTTATGCGTTAGAACTTAGAAGTGATATGTTGTGCTTTTTTTGGGTGCATTCACTTTTATAAAAATAAGAAATGTTGTGATTTCTCTAACAAACAAAAAAGAAAAAAACTTAGGAAATATTCGTTTGTTTTTATTAAAAAAAACATCTACCAAAAATTTATTTTTTTACTTGATTTTTTGTTGACTATTCATGCATGGAAGTCCAATGCCACGGCTTATTACTAGTCCTCGATCAGGAAAAAAATAATTTAACGCAATGATACATACACATATTTTGTGTGTTACATGTATATATATATGTATGTGTGTGTGTGTGTATTATATTTCTGGAAATTACGAAATTGGGTTTCTACTGTGTATTTATATGCTCACCTCAAAGACGGGACTTTTCAAGTTTCAAAACATAAATAATATTTATATTTTTTGGAGGGTGAATATTATCCACAAGAATGGGTTTCAAAGACATTAATGAGTGATCGTGTGAGTTTAGGTAATAAGCTTTAGATTACTAAGCAGATTGGTTGGTCCACTTACCCACCCCAACTCGCCATTACTATAGATGTAATTTATTTATTGCAATCTTCTTCATCATTTCCTTATGTTGTTGTTCTTACGTCTTTCTAGACTTTACCCATAAACAAACACACAGGCGATGAGATGTATGGTTAAAAAGAAAAGAGAGTTGTGATATTGTTGTTAATGGCAGGTCGTTTGGGGGCAAGGACGAGATATTCTGTTTGTTCGAAGGAGCGTTGGACAACCTCGGAAGTCTGAGACAGCAGTACGGCCTGGCTAAGTCAGCGAACGAGGTCCTGCTGGTCATAGAAGCTTACAAGGCCCTCCGGGACAGGGCTCCTTACCCGGCCAACCACGTCGTGGCCCACCTCCGTGGCAGCTTCGCCTTTGTCGTTTTCGATAGATCCACCTCCACTATCTTCGTAGCTTCTGTAAGTCATGCCTCGACAGATCTTGTCTTGCTTTCGTCATGAGATTCTTGGTATGCCTCGATAGGACCTACACATCATAGTTAGAGCAACAGATTCTTAGTTCTTGGTAAAGGTTGATCAAAGAAGAAAAGGATATGGTTGAAAGATCTTAATACTGAATGGATGAATTGGTTCGAGCAGGACCAATATGGGAAGGTTCCGTTGTATTGGGGAATCACAGCTGATGGGCATGTGGCGTTTGCCGATGACGCAGAGCTGCTCAGAACTGCATGTGGAAAGTCCCTTGCTTCCTTCCCTCAAGGTGGGTTTCCATAAAAACAAAATCTCCAAGAACTTACTGTCATGAGCCATTCAGCTTCCTTTCGAAATTTTCATGTGGTTTGATCTGTTCATGCAGGGTGTTTCTTCTCCACGCGGGTGGGTGGACTAAGGAGCTTTGAGAACCCTAAGAACAAGATTACTGCAGTCCTCGCCAGAGAGGAAGAGATATGGGGTGCCACCTTCAAGGTAATTAGCTTCGTCCACTATTTGTTTCATCAAATCTCTCGATTTTTCTTAGTTTCGAGAATGTTTTCACGTTTCACAGGTGGAAGGACCGGCAGTTCTTGCAGCGACAGAGTGAAAGAGAGAGCTTCCTTTACTTATATACGATGGATCCAGAAAGAGAGGAATGGGAAGAAGATCGATGGATAGCTTAAAAAAGACGGTTCCTTTTGCATGAAAACAGGAAGCTGTAATGGTGGTTTCTCGGGTTGTCTGTGTGTCTGTGTAATCTTGTCTCGTTGTGTTGTGTTTCTTTGTACAGCCGTACGTGTCGATCTTTGTACTATGTCTCTGTTTCTGCTCAACTCTTTTTCCTGTCTGAAAATCCAGTCTTACCGCTCATCCTTCTAAAATCCTCTCGAAGCCTTTTTCTTCTCATTCTCGATTTTCACGCGCCGTTCCTGTCAAGTTTTTGAACTGAAAAGGGTCAATTCGTCTTTCTGGTTCTGTGGATTTTCCACAGCTTGGCGTTTCGCGTTTGCGTTTGGGTTGACGCCTTCAAAGTTCGTATGGTTAAAAAACAGCGCGCTGTCTAGCTCCAATTGTGACGAACGGCACGATTTGTTATGAAGAGTTTATGGAAAGTGCCACAGTTCCGAGCCCTTGGCCATTTCTCCGGTAGAAGGGGATCAGCCATGGCGTCGTCTGTTATTCTGAAGCTAAGGAGCGCATCGGCCCTGAAATCGGCCGTGAACGGTTTCCGAATCGGAGTTTCGTCGAGGGGTTTCGTGAAGATTGCGGCGGGGATTGATATAACCTCGGCCACGCCCGATGTTTCCCTTCAAAAGGCTCGGAGCTGGGACGAAGGCGTCTCCTCCAAGTTCTCCATCTCTTCCCTGTCGGATATTTTCAAGGTTCCTCCTTTTTGCGCATTGGAATCCATGAATTGTTGGGTATTTCGTTTCTGGGTGTTCGTGATAACGAATTTCGTTTCTGGGCAATCTCTTGTTTCTGGGTCTTGTTGCAGGGGAAGAAAGTCGTCATCTTTGGACTTCCTGTGAGTTTTCCGTACCTGTTCCTGAACCTGATGAATCTTCATATTTATATCGTTTGAGTTCTGAGATTGTGCCTGAATGTTTGTTTCTATGTAGGGAGCTTATACTGGAGTGTGTTCGCAGCAGCATGTGCCTAGCTACAAGAACAGCATTGACAAATTCAAGGCCAAAGGGATAGATTCTGTTATCTGTGTCGCTGTTAATGATCCCTATGCTTTACATGGATGGGCGGAGAAGCTTCAGGCCAAAGATTCGGTAAGTTAAGTAGCTTTTCTGATTCCAAGCTTCGTTTTTTTTCCCCAACTGTTTCCTGATTCGTTTGGTGTCTGGTTTTGTACTTTGGTGGTTCTTGCGACTGTAGCATTTGGTCTCATACCATTAATCTCGTTGATCCAATTAAGCAAACTAAACAACATAAACTTTTCCAGATTCCTTTGGTTCGTTTGGTATCTGATTCTGTATTTTGGGTGGTTCCTGCATCTGTAACTCTTGGTGTAATAACATAAGGCTCTGCTCTCCAACCAAGTGATGTAAACAGGATAGCACATTTCCAGATTCCTTTTTGGTTCTTGGGTCAGTTATTTAACAGACCACTGGTGAAGATTACTCATCCTTTTCTCATCTCTGCTAGTTAGTTGTGCGTTGATCCGACTTAGTAACTGTCCACTGTCGTCGGAAGGACTATACAGTGGGACGTTCAGATTGATCTATGGTCCAAAAAAAAGCACCATTGATGCTGAGATTCAAAAGACTTTCTTTTCGAAAGTTCGCTTATGAAAAAAAATTCAAAACGGAAAGGCCGAGAGGAAGCTATCCATGACCAGCAAAAGGGTTGGGATTGTATATTTTGTTTCGCGAGCTAGCCCTTGTCATTTTTACCTGGAGGACACCGTTATTCAGATCGTATTACAGGTCAACCGAGTTATTCAAATAGGTATGGAGTACTCTGACATGTATATGTGGCTGAGTTTTGTGTAATTTGTCATGACAGATCGAGTTTTACGGAGATTTCGATGGGAAGTTCCATAAAAGCTTGGGGCTAGACAAGGATCTCTCTGCTGCTCTGCTGGGGCCGCGGTCTGAAAGGTAAAATCTTGAGTATTCCCGGTTCAAAGCTGATGATATCCGAGATTTCTTTATTCCGATCAATCCATTGGATCTAATAATCTACCATTCAAAGGTTTGATCTAAAGAAATCAGATGGTAATGCGATTGGTGCAGATGGTCAGCTTATGTAGAAGACGGTAGAGTTAAGGTACTGAACGTGGAAGAAGCTCCGTCGGATTTCAAGGTGTCTGGAGCAGAAGTCATTTTAGGACAGATATGAACAAGTGTTCCCGGAATCTTGGATCTGTAGCTGACATTGCTCTTTCCTTAAACCTGTAATAAAACTCCCTTTTTTTTTTGAACTGCCTTGCAAGTGAATAACTTGATCCCTTTATAATTTACATACAAGGGTCAGAGCAAATGCTTTTGTTAAAGCAGTTTCAGTTCCCATGTCGACGGTCCTTTCATTATTCTATTTCTAGTGGACATGAAACGGGTCGGGTCGGGTCCGATATTGGAATATTTGGAATCTAATCTGAATAATTTTTATTCTAAAATTTAGATTGGAATTTTAGATATTTTGTGAGTCGAACAAATCCTAAGCACAAAGGACAGAAATTTGCTAGAAATACGCAAACTTTTCTGGATTTACCGTTAAAATTTTGAATTAAACAAAGACTTTCAAAAAATTATACTGTAATTGATATCGTTTCTTGTAATTTTCTTAAAAGTATTTTGTTAATATTTTAAAATTCATAATTTTAACTTGCAAAATAGTAACAAAATCGACATGCTAATTGAATTACGCGGTCAAAGTTGGGCTTGATGGGCTTTTTGAAATCCATATGAACTAAGGCCCATAAGAGGGAGAAGCTCACCCTACGCGTTCTCGCTCTACGTTCCCCTCCCCCACCCCATTTCCAGACTACCCTTCGCCGCCGGCGAATCCTTCCGCTCGCTCCGCTGTAACCACCGGAGGTAATCTGGTTTCCTATCTCTAATGGTATCCTTCTCCGTCACTCTCATGTTCAGTTCCGTTCCGCAGTTATCTGTTAAGCCTTGGCGCTCGTCGTTTGATCTTTCATCTCCCTCGATTTTAGCTTCAAAATACTCTGAATTTAGACTAAATTGGCAGTATTTACTATTTAGGGTTCATGAGAGGCCTGTTTGTGTGGAAGCACGTGTCCATCGGTCGAGCAAATCCGATACCAATCCAGTTAATCGATTGTTTGGGATTTGTGTTGCGCAATCGGCTAGTTAGAGCTGAGATACTTTTAGGGTTCCGGATTATCTTTTAGGAGTACAGTATGTTTCTGAACTGATAAGAAACTCAGCTTGAACTTAGACGATATCAAGGTGTTTATGAAATTGCAGTGTCACTCTTGTTCAGGAATCTCAATATTCTCTGTTGTTTTTTCTCTGCAACAGGGAAGTGGTTTTTTTCACTACAGAGACCAAAGCAAGATCTCACCTCTCAATCACATGGAATGTTTCCAGATTGAGTTTGTAGTGTCAGAACAGAAAGTACAATAGTCATGAAGTTGATCTCACTTGTCAGAAATGTTCATTGTCGTCTCAAGGCAACTCAGCATCAGCAAGTTCGTTTCTTCCAGCATGACTTTGTTCCTCGAGATCCCAAAGCCAAACCAAAGAAATACAAGTACCCGCCTGCATATGACCCGTATGGCCCGAGACCCGCCCCTGCCAACAAAATCATAGAGCTAGCTGAGTGTATAGCCGCACTACCTCTGGAAGAACGCAGATTAATCGGCCCTATGCTCCATGAACGGCTGAAACACCCGAAACTCCAGGCTGTGTCAATTGAAGGCATGGATATAGGTGGAAAACCAGAGTCTGGACCAGGAAAAGCTGAGGAGAAGAAGAAGGAAAAGACAGCGTTTGATGTGAAGCTCGAGAAATTTGATGCGTCGGCAAAGATAAAGGTGATAAAAGAAGTGAGAGCGTTCACGAATTTGGGGCTGAAGGAGGCGAAGGAGCTCGTGGAGAAAGTTCCGGCCGTCGTCAAACAAGGGGTTACAAAGGAAGAAGCTAATGAGATCATTGAGAAGATCAAAGCTGCAGGTGGAGTTGCATCCATGGAATGACTGATTTTCTTTTTTATACTCTCTTCATTTTTTGGTTCTTTTTCTTTTGATTTGCCTCTCGTGACTCGTGTTGTGTTGTTTTTGCACATCTCGATGAACTGAAAATATTTCAGACTAAACATTCACGTACATCAAAACTCCCGTCGACCATTTCGGTTCTCAGTTTGGGTTCGGATTTGGTTATTTCGGTTTTAATTTCAGATTTAATATTGAATTTGGTTTGGTGGTTTTATTCGATTTGTGTTCGGTTAGATTTCGGTTTTCATTAGTAATTTTCATAAAAATTTTCGGTTATTTTCGTTATCCGATTCGGATTTAAAAAAAATCATAACTATCGGGTTTCACATCGGATTCAATTACGGTTATATTTTTCGATTCGGTTAATAACCAAATTCACGTTCTTCCCTAATCAGTAATGTGATTATTCGAATGGTTTTGGTCCACCATATCATGAAGAAGTTGCATGCGCCGGTGGTCCATTTGGCATCTAATTATTGAACACTGACATCAAGTTGTGTATTTTTTTTAGGAAATCTAAAACGACGCCGTACTTGAAAAAGGCACAGCAACAACGACCGACGAGTAAAACAGAAGCAACCATCTCTCCTTCTTCTGTTCATAAGTAGCCAGTTTCAGGAATCTGCAGCTTAGAACCCTGCTCCAATGGCGATTTCGAATCTTCCTTTCTGTCTCCTTCTCTGCATCCTTCTCTCCCTCCATCGCCCTGTTCTCTGCGACAACGGTATCTCTCTCTCTCTTCGCCCTTTTCTTTTTCTTGTCTTAAGATCTCATTTCCGTGTTCTTCTGGATCGTTCCTGCTTTCTTGGAAGTATTGCTGTTCTTGTCTGTGTTCGTGGGGATCCGGACCAGATCTAAAGCTGAACTTTTTTTTTCAAATCGTGAACTTCGTATGCATTGGTCAATGACAGATTTCTGCATCAGATCTCGTTCTTGGAATCATTAAATTTAAATTCAACGGCTTCGATGTTGATTAATGTGAACTGAATCACATGATTTTGCAAATCTATTACATTACTACGGTTGTGAGATCGTTTGGTATATGCAGAGACCAATTGTACTGTCTTATCTGTTTGAAGTCTCTGTCCTGATCTGTAAGTTCCATGTATCTTGGAACTCCATAAGAGTGGCTGTTGTTGGCATTTGTCCTAAAATCTTGAGCAGCATGCATTTATCTATCTAGGGCATGAACAAGGATTTCTCTAATGACATTGTATCCAAGATCCTCTCGATTAATCTTATGGATCCTTGTTGTATTTCTTTGTGCAAATGAGACACAAGGGTACTTGCCATACTTACCGAAAGATTAAAATTAAAATCATGATCGTTCAAGAAACTTCTGGCATTTTAGCTAATAAATCTCTCTTAGTGGTACTGATTCAGATTAAGATTCCCTCCTGCAACAATGGTTGATGATGGTGTTGTCTTCAGTACTAAACCTGTGTTTGAAGACATGATTTGTTCACGAATAACTTGTCTTTGGCTGCAGATGAAGAGGACAGTCTTCTTACAGTAGTCAACAGTTACCGAACTTCCCAGAACCTGACAACTCTGACGAAGAACAAGAACGCTGAATGCCTTGCGGATGAGATTGCCGAGCAGTTCAAGAACCAGCCCTGCACCAACACGACCGGTTCAAACACGGTACCAGGAACCGAACCTCAGTTTCCCAACTTCCCGGAACTACTTTCCAAGTGCCACTTGAATGTCTCCGCCACACGAGACGGCGCGATAATGCCAGCCTGCGTTCATCGCCTCGACCAGAGCGTCG